TTCCCTTTTAATTTGGACCATTTACTAATTTATCGATCATCCTATGCCAGGGGTGGGGAACCGTTTTTGTGCCAAAATTGGTTAACATCATTCACAGGACATATAAAATAATCAACTTAAGAATTACCGGCTATATTCCATCAAGGAGTTCGGTGTGGCGCTGTAGGTCAGTTTGAACTGCAAGGCCCGAGGTTCAAAGTTAGCAGTTGCTCCTTGGAAACCTTATACTGGGTCGCTGTGAGTTGTAACTGACATGACAGCACTTAACACCAACATATTTGGTCATTTCATTAACTCACCAGTAGTGTGATGACTGGAACTGTGTGTGGTTGACTTGGCAGGGCCAGACCAAATGATTTTGCAGGCCTAATAGCGTAGTGGTTACGAATTGGGCTGCTAACATCAAGGTCAGCAGTTCAAAACTACCAGTGGTTCTGTGGGAGAAAGATGAGGCGTTTTGCTCCCATAAAGATTTACAGTCTTGGAAACCCTGTGCAGGGTCACTATGAGTCGGAACCGACTCCACAGTACTTAACAGCAACAACATACAGCCCATGGGGTCCTGGTGTGGTGCTGTGAGTTAATGCATTAGACTGCAAGGTTGGTTAGAACTGCATGGTCGGCAGTTCAAGCTCACAAGCTACTCCTCAGAAACCATATATAGGGCCTCTATGGGTCAGTACCAACTCGACAGCACTTAACGACAACAGCATATGACCCATGGAGTCCTGGTATAGCGCTACAGGTTAATGTGCCGCACCGCAAGGTTGGTTTAAACTGCAAGGTTGGTGGTTCAAGTTCACTAGCTGCTCCTGCTGTTGTTGTTGTTAAGTACCGTCGAGTCGATTCTGACCCATAGCCACCCTGTATAGGGTTTCCAAGGAGCAGCTGGTGAGCTTGAACTGCCGACCTTGCAATTCAAACAAGTTTGCAGTCTGACGCGTTAGCCCACAGTGTCACACCAGGACTCCTAGGAATATGAGTTAGAACTGACTCTGTGGCACTTAACTGACAATACAGCCCATGGACCAGCCATTCCCCACTCCTGTCTTATGTGATGAAGGGGCCCTGGCGGCACTGTGGGTTAAGTTTGGACTACTAATTAAAAGGCTCGCTGTTCAAACCCTCTAGCTGTTCTGTGAGAGAAAGACAACGCTGTCTGCTTCCCTAAAGATTCAGTCTCGGAAACCCTATGGGGCAGTTCTGCTGTGTCCTGTACAGTCCCTGTGAGTCAGAATTGACTCGATGGCAGTAGAGGTGGGAGTTCTGGTTTACTGCTGCTGTTATAAGTGCTGTTGAGTCAAATCCATGTCATAGCAACCCTGTGTAGAGTTTCTAAGGCTGTAAATCTTTAGAGGCGCACAGAAAGCCTCATCTTTCTCCTCAAGAATGGTTGGTGGGCTCAAACCATGGACCTTGTGATTCGCAGTCCAGTGCTTATCCTGGCTTACTATGTGATGTGAACCGGCTTTGTGTTGCTCCATCTGACACCCTTTAGGCAAACTCCTTCTTTGGTGAAGGAAATGGGGGTGAGGATCGAAGCTATGGTTGTAGGTACCACCAAACACTAGGGAAGAAGATATCAGAAGTGGGGAAGGAGAGGGGGAGCACAAGAAACAAACACAGGAGAAGAAAGAAATGAAGAGGAGGAGGGGCTGCCGGAATCTCAGATTCCACTGCACTGATTGGTTGTTAGTTTTCTTCCCGTGGGCTAAGATTCTTGTGGCCTTATGAATATCAGAATAAAGGTTGCCCGGTCCTGCACCATCTCCACTGGTGTGGCTACTGGGTCAGCCTAGCCACTGGGTGTGTCCTTCATTTTCACTGACCCTGTGCTTTACAAACTCTGACGCCCTTTCCTGGTGATGTCTTCCTTCTGATGAATGTCCAAAGTTGACTACGTTGAAGATTCACAATCCTGCTTGTAAGGGAAATGTCAGTTGTATTTCTTCTAAGACTCATGGGTTTCATTCGTTTGGCAATATATTCAGTATTCTTTGCCAGCCACGGGTCCCTGGTAGCATAGTGGACTGCACATTGGTTACTAACTGCAAGGTCAGCAGTTCGAGTTCACCAGGTACCCAGTGAGAGAAGAATGAGGTTTTCGGCTCCCTTAAAGATACAGCCTCAGAAACCCTATACAGGGTTACTCTGAGTTGGAACTGCATCAAAGCCACACCACCAACAACCAACAGCACAATGCATCGATTCTTCTGTTTGCCTTTTTCATTTTCCAACTTTTGCATGCATATGAAGTGATCGAAAATGGATATTCCACGTGGTAGCCATGGAAATTGAAGTCAAGAAGGAACTGCTTTAAGTATATTCTTACTGTAATTATTTTCTCTTTATTTTTAAAGAGGGGGCATCTGTGCTTTAAAATCCAAATTGACACAGCTTTCAAGCTTTTAAAGATGCTCTCCCTTTAAGAGCTGTATCCTACCTGGGTCAGCCACCATAACTCACAGATGGGGAAGTTAGGATTTCTGGCTTGTAACTTGGATGGCTAGAGCCGCCACCTCCCCTGGGCCAGTTCATCCACGGTCAGTTCATTTGTGTATGTTTGGCTTCCCTGGTTTCAGCAGAAGACGGCCAAATCAAGTTATGGTTGCCATTAGGAAAAAATGTGTTTCGGGTAAATCGGGTTGGGTGGAAGGCGGGAGGCTCACTGGGTGGAAGTCTCACTTCATCCAGTCTGACCTTACAGAGCTTCCCAGGCAGGACATTCCGGGTCTGGGTGGCAATGATTCTGTTCGTAGGCATCTGGGTGGTCACCTGGGATGATCTAGGACCACAGGGAGGGGGTCCTCAGAGACATGCACAAGGGTATCAGTGCAGGGTCTCTTGGGTTCCCAGTTGCGTCGTCTTGCTTTGCTGGTCCCAGGAGCTTGTGCCTGGTGTACTTTAACAAGATTAGAGAGCTTGCTATTGGGAAAGACTTGGAAATGGCTTCCTCCCTGTGGGTGGTCATCTGGGGTGAGTGGTCCCTCTGTTGGTGAGGTCACCTGGCCAGAGCCCAGCAACTCTTGCCAGATGTCCGCCTGCACAGGGAGGGCCTCACTCCTGCCCCCGGCTCACAGTTGTATTTTTAGGTTGGTTGGACCTGGCCAAGGCGAGGAGATGGGCTGGGCTGGAGCCTTTAGGCTGCGGTATTGTCCCTGATGGAGCCCAGTTGGTGGTTGGAATAAAGAGCTGCTGCTTATGGGAAACAGGACTGCAATATCCTGAAGTTTAGGGTGGGAGGGCTGGGGATGGGCTGTGAGTAACCCAGGCCAGCGACTGCCAGGAAAGGGACCTTCCACTGGGACCAAGCATAGAGAGCAGAGCTCTGAAGGCAGGCCAGCATGTACCTCCTCCGGCAGATCCGGAACTGCTTACTGCCACCGTGGCCCTCGACTCTGTCGTTGGAATTCTCGGGACTCACAGAGACAGCTACATTCCTGTCTGCTCTTGGGTACATTCCTTCGTTGCTTTCTTGAGACTGCTCTGTAGCTTGTAATTCCCGTAGGCTGGGAGAAGAGAAAAGCTGGGGAAGGGCGGGGTGGGGAGGGGAATTCCGTAGCTCCTCTGCTGAGTAACCAGCTTTGTAAGCCCTGCCTTTGTATCTCCAAGTGCTTGGCAGCATCTTGGTGGAATTCATGTTGTTAGGTGCCATTGGGTTGATTCTGAGTCACAGTGGTCCTATGGATGCAGAGTAGAAGGGTAACACAAAGAACAGATCGCCAGACGTGTCTCCTAAGGTGCCTCTGGGTAGGTTTGAACTGCCAGTCTTTTGGCTAACAGAATGCTTAACTGTTTGCGCCACCCAGGGGCTCCCGGTAGGATTCTAAAGCCCAAACCAAACCCAGTGCCATCGAGTCAATTCTGACTCGTGGCAGACCTGTAGGACAGAGGAGATTAGACCTGTTCTCCTTAGGGTTTCTGAGGCTATAAATCTTTACAGGAGCAGACAGCCTCATCTTTCTTCCAGGGAGTTTGCTGGTGGGTTTGAACCACCAACTGTGCAGTTGGCAGCCCAACACCAGGTATTTTTGGTAGGATTATGGTTGTGGAGGTGGTTGTGTGCCACTGAGTCGGTTCCGACTCATAGCATCAATCGTTGTGGGAACAGAAAACCTCCTCTTACTCCTGAGGTGTGGCTGGGAGATTTGAACTGCTGACCTTGCAGTTAACAGTCCAACTTTGTAACCTACTACACTACCAGGGCTTCCTGGTGAGGTGATGGATGGAATTTATTTTCTTCTGACAAACGGTTTTCTAGACTACTGAATTGTTTATCATGAGAAAGTATTACTTCTTCCCTAATATAAAAAATTTAGAAGAACTCCCTGCTCGTGGAGGTTTAAGTGGGTAAAGTGGTGTTTGGGGAACAGTAATAAAGCTGCAGTATACCTTTGTTTCTTGCTGGATTGTATCGCTGAGCATTTGGGGAGGGAGAGAGATGCAGCAGAGATCTTTGGTTTTGATTCAACAAGAGGTAGACCTATAGGACTAGAAAGGACTTGGAAACCACCCTCGTTATACAGACCACAGGCTCCTTCCTTTGTAACTCTTTCTACAGGTAATGGGAGAGTTTGGGGGGAGATATGCCCAGTAGGCAGCTGGAATATCGGACTGCGGTTTATAACCCTCAGAAAAGAAGTAAAAGTAGCGGATTTGACAGCCTAGTTTTGCGGGTGTTTCCTCTGTAGCCTTAGGGTGAAGGAAACAGCATGGCGCTGGGAGTAGGAGGAGGGGTGTTTCTAAGGATCCTAGCCGGAAGTCCATCTCCTTCTGGCCTCCCATTTCATGAGAAGGGCCACCAGCAGGAGAGGCTCGGCCTCCCTCCCCTCCCCATGGGATCGGGCAGGGAGATGGATGTGGGAGGGAGGAGGGTGACACATCAAATCTCATTTTCTCCAGTTGTGACCATCTAGTTCTGCTCTTGGGTTCCGTTCCGCCCAATGAAATTCTCAAAGCCATTTTCTATTGTTTGTTTCTTTCTTTCTTTCTTGGACTAGAGACCACCTGGGAGCGTCCCGGCAGCTGTCCTGGGATTCCAGCAAGCCCTGGCCCTCAGAGGAGTTCCCTGCTTCCAACAGGTACTGTCTACTCAGCACTGTGGGCACCTGAGAGGGGCCACACACCCACCATCACCCTCAAATCTCACACCAACAGGGAACGTAGAGAACAGTCCACAAGACCTCTGTCTTCAATTCCTAGGGCTCCCTGTTATAACAGTAGACATTGACTCCCAATTCTGGAGTCTACGAGTCTGAATTCAGGTGTCGGAAGAACCATGCTCTTTTGGAAGACTCCAGGGAGACCCTTTTCTTGTGTCCCCCAGCTCCTGATTGTTGTTGTTGAGTACCATTGAGTCCATTCTGACTCATAGTGACCCTGTATAGGAGTGGCTAGTGGGTTTGAACTGCCAGCCTGTGGTTAGCATTCCAGTGCCTCGGGTATCTCCAGACTTGAAGCTCCAGTGTCACGTGACAGTCTCTCCTCTTTGTCTTTGTGACGCTTCCCTTATAAGGACTGTGTTCTATTGAATTGGGGCCCACCCTATGCCAGTATGACCTCACCTTCAAAGATCCTGTTTCCAAACAAAGTCATAGCCACAGGTACAAAGAGGGACTTCAGTGTGACTTTTGGGGGTGCACAATTTAACCAGTTTAACTGATACCAGTTGCGATTTCATGGGTTCCTAAGACCACCCTAAGTTCACTAATTCGCTGGAAGAACTCATGGAACTCATTGAAAGAGGTTCTATTTTTACGAGCCAAAGCAAGACCCACTGCCATCAAGTCTGTTTCGACTCCTAGCAACTCGACGTAGGGTATCCAACCAATGCTGTAAATCCTTCACGGGAGCAGAACGCCTCACAGCACCACCACGGCTCCTTAGATACAAGGGGGCTTCAGAAAGTTTGTGGAAAGATAATGGAATTTTTCCATGAACTCTTTGACACCCCCTTGTATTTTGTCACTTCTGCATTTTTTTTTTTTACATTTACTATTCAGTGATGTTGATCATGTTGTGCATCACTATTATCCATTTCTAGAATTTTCCATCGCTTTTTAACAGTAGGTCATTGTCCCTAAAGAATTGAGTTTCTTTTTCCTCCTCTGGCCTCTGCACCTCTGCCTGTTGTGTATGTTGAATATAAATGGAATTATAACCATCATATTTATCCTTGTGTGTTCAAGGACCATTCCTGTATTGAGGTTTCCTTTCTCAGTGTGACTGGGTGATGATACCCCATTGTATATATGCATCGCAGTGTGTGTGTGTGTGTGTGTGTGTGTGTGTGTGTCCATTCATCTGTGGGTGGACATTCAGAATGTTTCTGCCTTTTGGCTATTGTGAACATTGGTGTGTTACACGTCTCTGTTTGAGTCTCTGCCCTAAGTGCTTGTGGGTACGTACTCCAGGAGAGAATTGTTGGCTCATATTCAACCATGTTCATTAACTTCAGACATCACACATGGGGTCATTCCTGAAGAAGAACACGGAAAAAAAGATCAGGGAGAATGTCAGCAGGAACCACACATTAACCTAGTCAGACCAGCCTCCCCTTCATGGAAACAGCAATTAAAAAAACAAAAAAACAAGTCCTGGGCCTCACTCTATTTCAGTGTTGTAGCTTTGTGTGAGCTTCTGGAAGGGCTTGAATGGCCAGCCACCTGTGGATAGGACTCATTGGTTCTTCTTTATGCCGTTTTACTGCATAGGTTATATCTGCTAGAGAGAAAGATCTGGAATCACACCCAGCTCTTCCTCCAAATTAGATTTTACTCTTTAAATGCAATTTAGAGAGGGTCAGCACTGAGCCTGGGACTTTTTCTACATTGCTCCATTTTAATATCAACAAATACAAGAGCTGTGTTTATTCGGCTGTTTTACTGGAAGTATTTAATGCCTAGCTTTTTGGCTGAGGACCGCATAGGTAAGAAGCAAAGTTTAAACCTAAAACAGAACCTAAGGCACTGTTTAGTAATTGTTGCAAATATTAAAAATCCCCTCTGGGCTACTTTAATATGCCATGTGGAAACAATACTTTATATCGAGAGAAACATTAACAGGCAGGAGAGAAAATATGAATGAAAAATGAGGTTGTGCGAGTTTCATGTCTGCCGTGTCACTGGGTAGAATGAATGAGAGTGTCAGGCAGTGTTGGCCAATAGAACTTTCTGGATAACTGGAAATGTTCTCTCTCTGTGCCTTCCAATATTATAGCCACTAACATGTGACTGTTGAGTACTAGAAATGTACAACTAAGGCAGTGAAATTTAAATTTATTTAAATAACCTTCATACTTTGGAATAATCTTAGATTTGCAGGAAAGTTGCAAAGATAGTACAGAGTTACTGTATACATTTCATCTAAAAACAAACACTAATTTGCTATCAAGTCCATCTGACTCGTAGCAACCCCAGGTGTGTCAGATGAGAGTTTTCAGTGCATAATTTTTCAAAAGTAGAACCCCAGGTTTTTCTTCCCAGGGAACTCTAAGTGAACTGGAGCCTCCATCCATTTACATGAACCAGAAACACCACCTTTCACCCAGTGCCCCCAAATGTTAATATCTATGTAACTATAATACATTCAGCAAAGCTGAGAAATTAACATTGTACGTTACTGTTAACCTCAAACTTGATTCAGATCTTACCAGTTTTTCTACCAAGGCCCTTTTTCTGTTCTAAGGTCCAGTCTTGGATACCACTGCATTGCTGTTCTTGCTGTTAAGTGCCATCGAATTGGTTCTGACCATAGCAACCCTGTATATGGTTTCCGAGGAGCGGCTGATGAATTTGAACCTCCAGCCTTTGCGGTTCAAACCAACCTTGCAGTTCAGTGCATTCTCACACAGTGCCACACCAGGACTCCAGCACTATGCTGCCTTAAGATTTAATTAATTTCTATTTAAGCAGCCACAAGTGGCTAGTGGCTTGCCCTATCAGTCGCTGTATAGGAAATCCTTTCTGACACACTGGATTTGGGATGTGCATTCAGCATTGTGTTTGTGTGTGTTGTATTTTTTATTGAAGTTGGCCTGGTGACATCAGGAAACCCGGGTTCAAATTCTAACTTTGTCCACTTTTGGCTAGTGGCCATTGAGAGCTAGTTAAAGAACCTCTTGTCACCAGCAGCCCCAGGAAAGACCTTGAGGAAGACCAGGGAGCCCAGATCAAGGGGGGAATGAGTTCTGTTGCAGATGCTGCAGACTGGGAGGACTTGCCTTTCAACCTGAGGGAGCGGGCCAGGATTTGTATTGGCAGACAGCTATGATTCCCCTGAGCTGAGGTCCCCTGGGAAAGGAGACTTTAGAATCCAGGGCCTTATCCTCACCATCTCCAAATCAGAAAGCCCTGAGAGACTGCCTCCTAAGAGAGCTCCTCCACCAAGCAGAAGTAGCAAGTTGCCAGGCCTCAGCAACTTCTGCAACCCGAAACCTGACTTCATGGAGCCCTGCTGGTACAGTGAGTTAAGCACCAGGCTGCTAACCGCAAAATTGGTGGTTTAAACCCACCAGGTACCCCACAGAAGAAAGATGAGGCTTTTATGATTCCATAAATGTTTACAACCTCGGAAACTCTAGGGTTAGAATCAGGGCAAGAGACATGTTAACATTTGGTCTAGGATTTAGGGTTATAGTTAGGGTTAGATTTCAGGATAGGGCTTGATTAAAGATTTGCTTTAAGTTTTAGGGTTAGGGTAAGGGCTTCGATTCGGGTTATGACTAATATTAAGGGCTAGGGTTAAATTCAGGGCTAGTATTGAGGCTAAGGCTACTGTTAGATTAAGGCCTAGGGTTAGACCTAGGGATGGAGCTAGGGCAAGTTTATGGTTAGGTTTTGGACTAGGGTTAAAGCGTTTGATTTACAGTAGTAATTAAGGCTTGGGCTAAATATATGTTTGTTGTTGTTAAGTGCCATCGAGTCGGTTCTAACTCAGTGACCCTGTATAGAGTTTCCAGGGAGCAGCTGGTGAGTTTGAGCTACCGACCTTGTGGTCCAGACCGACCTTGTGGTCCAATTCTTTATCTCACAGTGCCACACCAGGACTCCAAGTTTATGTTTAGGGTTAATTTATAAGTCCTCACCCTGAAAACTGAGCATTAAACACATCTAGTAAAACAATTGAATAAACCCAGCTCATGTGTTTGTACTCTGGTGATATCATGTACTCTGGTGATATTAAGAGAAGCAGTATAGGAAAAGCCCATGGCCTAGTGCTGACTCTCCCTACATTGCATTCAAAGATTAGAATCTGCCCTGTAAGATCGCTGTGAGTTGGAATCTTGATGGTAGTGGGTTCAACTCAACCTCCCCATTAGGACTTCCGGGAAACTGTGACATGCCCCCTGTTGGTTTAGAAACTGTGTTGCCAGCTGAGTTTCCAGTTGACCTTCTAAACTACTGCCCCTGGAGAATAGCCTACAGGTTTCCAACCATTCGCAACCACATGGAAAAATGTATTGTGAATTCCAATGGACAGATTTAACAAAAGCCATATTTGGGAATACGGTTTATATCTTCGCCAACCAGGAGAGTTGTCAGCCAGGCCAACATTTCCGGAAGAGAAAAGAAATGAGTGGTTATTCATGTGAAAATGTACCACTAAAGTGACTCCTGAGAAGAAGACAGGGGAGGAGGTGTGGTAGGAGGTGAGAGAGGCAGGGGTGGTCACGTCCGCTGTGCTCTCAGAACTATTGAGTACAAATGTGGCTACACTGTTTACCTTGGTTTGCTGGACTTCAAAACCAGCATCAAAACTGGTCTGTCAGAATCAGGTTCATTGTTCCTGTAAGTTTAGAAAGACTTCCCATGTTGCCTTGGTTGAGGGCCACAGCATACATCAGCATATTTTGAAAGGCCTTCTGTTTACAAAAGCCCTACTGGAAATAGGTCAATTAAAGCCTAAATTGGAGGGCACATCCCACAAACTCTTTGGGCCATAAGACCCCCACTTCTGAATATGGAATAAACATCCTACAGAATCACTTAATGTTCTTCACAAACCACTTGGGCACATATGATGTTCCACCAGGTTTAATGTTTGTTGAACTCATGGACAGATGGAAGGAAGGATAGAAGGA